ATGGCTAGATTAGCTCTCCCTCCTATTCAACATCTACTGGTTTGGGGTTCAGTTATATCCTTTGACCCACTTTTGAGCCATCAAAGTGAGGCTGTCAAAATCCTGCCCCAGTACCTGGAGGCTGTCTGGACATTGGGGTTCAGTTATATCTTTTGACCCACTTTTGAGCCATCAAAGTGAGGCTGTCAAAATCCTGCCCCAGTACCTGGAGGCTGTCTGGACATTGGGGTTCAGTTATATCTTTTGACCCACTTTTGAGCCATCAAAGTGAGGCTGTCAAAATCCTGCCCCAGTACCTGGAGGCTGTCTGGACATGGATGGGGAGGAACTGTCTCCAACTCAATCCTACCAAGACTGAGTGGCTGTGGGTTTGAGGGCCACCTAATTATGGGGATATTCCCTTTGCCTTTGGATAGGGTTGCACTTCCCCCTTCAAAGATGGCCTACCATGTGGGGGTCTTCATGGATTCACACTCCTGCTTAATGAGCAGGTGGCAGCTGTGGCCAGGAAGGCCTTTGCACAGCTCCATCTACCAGGAAGATCCTTCAGGTAGTCACTCATGCCCTAATCACCTGGCTCGGCTACTGCAATGCACTCTAAATGGGGCTGCCCTTGAAGACCACCTGGGAGAGTCAACTGGTCCAGAATGCAATGGCACGGGCAGTCATGGACACACCTCAGTACCCATTACTTAGCACTGGAGCCCTCTATACTCAAGAGCGTAGCCAGGTTATTAAAACAAATGAGATATACAACAACCTGGATAAGTTCAATGTCAGTAATGCAGAATTCCTTTATGTCACCATGCAGGTGAGCACACAGGGCCTGAATAACTGATGACAAGGCCATCTGGGAAAGACTAGCATTGGCTTATTAATCTGTATGGGTTGCTATCTTATCAAGCACGGGTGCAACATATGATGCAGTGATGAGCAGCATATCTTTAGTACATATTAAAGAAGTGAAGCCATAGGTCTAGCACTACAAAGGAAAAGGTGGAGAAAAACACGTTGCAGTTTTCCTAAGCAGAGAAGCTGAACTCGACCAGGTGTTCATCACTGATGTATTTAATACCCACTGAGTCTGAATCACAGAATATTAACAATATGACTCAGGAATACTAACAAGTGTGTTTTCTCCTGAAATGGAAAGAAAAAGAGAATTCAAATGGTTCAAAGAGAAGGAAATGAGTGTTTGAAATGGCCAACATAGTCCTGGTCTGAAATATCCTAACTTCCTGTCTTGCGGTTCTGTTCCATGGAGCAATATTTTCTAGATCTCTTCCCTGGGTAGGGGAAACCAAACTGCCATTCCTGCCCACAAAAGAGGGTCTACATTTGCATAAAATCTGCATATGTGAACAGATGCAAATATAGGCAGAATTGCTAAGAATAAATTATAATTACTGTAATTAACCTTATTATAGTGGGAAGATTATGACTAGACACCATCTGCTCTGTGTTGATGCTTAAATCCTAAATGCTGATGAGCCGCTTCAAGGCCTCTGGGGTCCCATCTTGAAACTGGATTTGGGTGAGCGGCCCTTCAAACAGAGGACTATCTTTGGGTGTCTCCTCTGTAAATGAAGACCTGCATCAACCGGATCCCAACATAACATTCAAGTCTTCTCAAGATCAGGAGCAGGAACCTGTGTGCTACGCGTAGCCTCGAGAATGGAAGGGTCAATTCACGCCTTGTATTTGGCTGGTGTCCGATCGTACTTTAAGTTTCAGAGCCATACCGCAGTTATTTCATACTCTCCCCCCAAGCTGGGCCTTTTTCCTCATGGGGGAGGTTTAAGCTCAACGCCCACTCTTTGAGGCTAAATGCATTTTTTAAAAAACAAGTCAGAGCCAGTTGTTAAGGCGCTGGACTGTGACGGAGGACACCCAGATTCAAGTCCATCTTCTGCTAACTTTGGGCTGGTCCCTCTCTCCCAGGTCAATACACAACACAGGGCTCGGTTGTGGGGATTAAATGGAGATCCCCATGTAAATCACCTTGAGCTCCTGGAGAAAAGGGTGGATATGAATCTAAACAACAATAATTGCAGGGGATATGGTTGGGTGACAGGTGGTTTTTTTAATATGGATATAACAATTCTATTCTACTTAGATAGAATTTTAGGGTATCGTTTTAAAATGGGGCACACCAATTTGCAGTTTAGAGTTAAAGATCAGATCTTCAGATTAAAAAATTGAACACCACTGGTGTTAGTTGGATGGTGTCAGACATTATTGGATGTTTGGGATATAGAAAGGGTCCATGGATCCTAAAAGTGATAGTGTCACTATTATGTTGCATATAACATCAAGGAAAGAAAAGAGGAAAGAATTAGGTTATCCACTGAGGGTCCCTAGCTCAGAAATTCTCCCAAATCCTGAAGTTGGGACTTGATGACTTTTGACAAATTGTCCTCTCCCTTGGCCTACCCAACCTCATAAAATATTTAGAAGATAAAATGGAATGATCCTACACATCCCGTTGACTTAAATCCATTGAAGGGTAAAAAAAATCAGTGCCTGACATCATAACAATGTGGTTTGATCTTAGTTTAGGGCCACTGTGGTTTGTAAACTACAAAGTGATGGGCAAGTGTACTTTTATAATATTTTGTAACAGATCAAATAAATAAATATTCATTAAATTAATAGATTTCCAAGATCAGGGCTTTAGAGTTAAGAGGATCCACATATCCAAGTATCATCTTTGCACTCCCCTTCTCATCTCTGCCTATTGGGTATTGTGGTCATTATTAATTATTATTTTTTAAAGGTGGACTCAGAGAAGAGGTGGGGCTTTCTAGAGAGCAAAATCAGGGATGGTAACCATGACAGAAGAAGCATCTATCTCAAGACCTTGTCAACAATAAAAATATGGGGTTAGATTAGCAGATGTGTAGCTTTCAACAAGCCAATCTTATTTCATGCCCTCATTTCTTACCAGGATCTTCAGGGGCCACTCTTAATGCTGCAATGTTCCACGTTGCCTCCAGGTTGCCACGAGATGGCAGTTCCAGGTAACTATCTGACGTAAATGGGAGGAGGCTTTCAGAATGAATCTATTCCGACTCACGTACTTCCGTCTGGATCCTTTTCCATGTTCTTGAATCATATGGACCATCAACAAACCTATCTGTAGTGACACCTTAAAATCTTTGTTGTTTGTGAAAATCTTGAAGCAAGATTAGACTCTTCGGGACACATTCTGTAAGAAACCAGAAAAGTTTAAAACAGTTTTTCATACGTGAAATAGTCCTTGAGTGTAGATCACATTATCAACAGATAAGTAGACACAAATAGATTTCTGTGAATGTATGAGAAAATCTGTGTGAGTAGGTGAAGTTAAAATCAACATACATAATAGTAAGATGGATAGTGAATACAGATAACTTTTTACCAAATATTAATTTAATCAATATTAATTTAATCACTAGTTAATGTGCCACTTGTTCTGAACCAGTATGTACAGATCACTGAAAGTTAGGAGTGTGTCTCAGTTTTGGCCAAAGCCCAAATTCCAAGGTGGAGTGGGGTAACTTGATACAAATTTTCATCCTCCCACATGGGCTTAAACTTGCTCTGTTCTGAATCTGAATCACCACAAATCTTCAGTACCAATTACAACATCTTGGAACCAAATGTGTCATTCTACCTCACTGTTGCCCAGTTTTAGATCCTGAGCAACTATGTGACATATTTTAGAACTATGTTAGTTAGCTGACTGGAACCAATTTATCTGATGAAAAAGACTTGCAAATAAATCTCTTCCACTTTTGCTTCAGTCCCTGATAATCAGCTTTACCACACTCCTTATAACCAACTGTTCTTTGCACAAAAAATTCTCAAACTCTGTCTGAAATGTGCCACATTTATTCTTCACCATGGTAAATTATGAAAGGGCAGAGCTCATTTTTCTGAATGCTACTTTTGATCTGGAGATCATGTCAGATTAGACATCACCATGATTCAGAGTGGACTGAGTATTTTCCAGAACTCCACATGCAGTTCACAAAGCAAATCAGATTCTCTCCAATGTGATCCCTCTTCAGTATGAGTGTCCTTGCATTGGGTAATTTTGCCATATATATTAATCTCATAAAGTTCTCATGAGAATAAACCGTAGTAGCATGCATATACTTGTAGTACAGTAGTTGTCTGAATCTACTGTATCACGACTTTTGAGTTGTATCAGAAATCATTGGACATATGTGAGCCTTGAAAACCAAGATATTGTGGGGTGAAAGGGCAAAACAGATCTGACCCTTAACCAAACACTTGCTATAAACTGGAAAATGAACACAGCTTCTAGATCTGGCATGGAAATTAACTGTAGAAGTAGTAACCAGATAACTGAAGAAGAAGCAAAGTGAAATGAAATGAAATAATGAAATAAAGCAAAGCAAAGCAATGGGGTTCTTGCCTTTATGGGGCCATTTTTTTAAAAAAAATCTGTATAAATGAGTAATGAACATGATTTAAATTTCCTTTTATTTAAGACTTTTGCTCAAACCTAAAACAGATTTATCATGAAGGGATTTTAATACTAGCAACTTTGTTACATAAGTTGAGATAATGTTGAGTCAAGGCAAGACTAAAGCGGAAGTATGTGGTTGGTCGCAAACACCCTTAAAGAGGAAACCCCATTCAAACCAGTTTAGCCTGATTCATTTTGCTCCTTATTAGTCTGCCTCTCTTATTCCACAACCACCCACCTTCTTTTGGGGGAGAAGTAAATATGTTTCCACGTTCACTTAAGCAATGGGACTTCCTAGTTTGATCTCACAAATGTTACCATGACTGTAACATTTTATTTTCTTTGCTGAAGGGAAACATTTTAAACAGAAGAGTTTTCAAAGTGATGGCTGCAGTAAAACAGAGTTTTCTCGCACATTAAACAGGATCTCCAGCCTTTCTGGGCCTGTAGGCACATGTGGAATTTAAAAACAGGTTGCATCCACAGAACTGTAATTTCCAAATTATTCCACTCTATTCTGATTAGACCTACCTGAACTCCTGTGTCCAGTTCTGGGCGCCCCTTTTCGTCAAAGATTCGGATTAATTCAGACAAGTTCAAAGAAGGTGAGCAAGGATGACCAAGGCAACTAAAACCTATGAAGAGAAATGGAAAGAGCTGGTCTGTTTCGCTTTGAGAAAAGGCAATGGAAAGGAGATATAATAGCACCCTTCAAATATCTTAATATTTCATAAAAGGTCAAATTCTGCTCTAGTTCCACAGTGCAGAACGCAGAATAAATTGCAAGAGAGCAGAAGATGTCTGTAAAAGCAGTCCCAAAGTGGAACCAACTGCCACAGGCTCCCCCTTCATTGGATGTGCTTAAGTAGAAAACATTCTTTTTTCTTTCTCCTTCCTTCCTTCCTTCCTTCCTTCCTTCCTTCCTTCCTTCCTTCTTTGTGGGGGAGCAGATGGCCCCATTTCCAAACCAAGCCCTGAGCTGCAGTTTTTATTTGCAAAGAATAGCACTTGGGGCTGTGTCCAGAGCCATTATTAGCAATAAAGGTGGGGCACGAAATCTGGGGGCTACAAAGGAAGAGGGCAGCAGCCACGGGCACACCAGTCCTCATTTATCCTCACACGTGTTTTTATGGACCTACTTCATTAGTTTTTCAGTTAAGAACATCGACTGAGGTGTCCCTGGTAGTGCCAAGTACTTCTTTTTAAGCCCTCTACCCTTCCCCTTTCTGCTTATGTTATAAAATATATCGACTTTTTCGCAATTAGGGGAAACAAAAAAAGCATCAGCTTTTCCCTTCCACTCCTGCAGGGAAGAGCGTCCACAGATCTCTCCCTTTTTTCAAGCTGCTCCTTTCTTCCTCGCCGGTAATTAAAACATGCCGGGGGGGGGGG